AATTAATGCATATTCATATTTATTTTGAACTACAGTAACATCTTCTGATTTCTCTCAACATGGGGACAGGAGAGCTGACAATCAATAAATTGGAAAAAAAAAGTAACTTGCGTTACTTATCTGAAAAGGTAACTCAGATATTCTCTTGTAAATTAAAAATGCGTTACTTTACTAGTTACTTGAAAAAAAGTAATCTGATTACGTAACTTGCGTTACTTGTAATATATTACCCCCAACACTGCTAGTAATACTAGTCGGAAATCAATCGCTGACTATATGAACTATAGACCCCCATCACTGTGTATTACCTGTAATAATTGAATAGTTACTTGGTGTCACTATTTGATTAGTCTAATGAATAAACACTAGCGACATTAAAAAGGATACATCACTATTGGATTACTTACTGAAAAAAAAAAAGACTTCTAGTAACGTTAGGGTAAGTTTAATAAATGAACATTAATTAATTTAATGAACAGCTTGACGTAGCGTAATGTCATGAAATTCTTTGGTTTACTAGCGATCAGGCTAGTTGACAAATCCAGTAGCAATTTATTTACCTCCTCTGTGTAGGACTTCGGATCCCTCTTGATCAAATTTTGCAACTGTGGGAGGTTCGTCGGTAATTTGTTATTGTGACGACCCGACATTTTTGATTACTTTCGAATACTAAGAGTCAAAAAAATAACGTTTGTTTTTAGTGATTTGATTATTCCAGCACCAGCGTGGCTCATGAGGAGGTCTCCATGTTGCCTGCAAACTACGGAAAGCCTGAAAGGACATTCTGGTTTTCAAACGCGTCACTACTGGTGATGTTTCGTCAAGCTTCGAACCCGTTGCGAAAACTGATCTATAATAGAGAATTATATAGTTATATATTATATTATATTATTATAGTCATTCATTATATAGATCAGTTGTTGCGAATCATTTGTTTCGAACCAGTGAATTTACAGAGTTTTGGCCAGCAGGCGTCATCAGCGTGTGGTATTTCGAGCACTTCGGAGTGAATCATTTGGTGAATCATTTGATTCAAAGATTCGAAAGGGTTTGATTCTCCAGTTTAGATCAGCGGTTTTCAGCGGCCCCCGGTGGACATGGGAGGTACTGCAGTAGACCCATATTTTTCCGGTGAGTTTAATAATTGTTTGTTCAACTATATTAGTCCAACTGAAAAAGCTATATTTTCTGTTGTTTTACTGCTGGTTGGTTGAGTTACGAGTTTCTGCAGCCTCTGAATTAGAATATTAGTATTTAATTTGTTTCTGAGGACAACATTGATGGAAAGGGAAAAAATACAATCAATTCTACCTGAGTCACTTTAATTGATACAACTATATGCTTAATAGTCTAATATATACAAAATATTTTTTTTGCAATTGGGAGCACTAATAAATATAAACTTTATAGACAATGTTTATGTCAAACCTAGTAAATCCTGAATGCATCAAAATAACATGAAAGAAACAGAAATGAAGCAGAAATGGCAAAAATACAACGATTAGAGAAAACCATAAAGGCATGATATTCTTTTATTTACAAATTGCAAATTGTCCAGTATGTAACAGCTTTAAAACATATCAACAGATTTCATAAGATAAATATCACACTAAATATAACACTTTAAAATGTCTTCGATTACCACTGGCACTCAGTGATTTCTAAAAGATTTACAAAGCAAATACTGTCTGTATTCTGTCATTTCCAGCATCATTTCATTTAAGATACACAAGAATAATTTTGTACCACAAAAAAATATGAATTCATTTCTTTTTTATTTGATCCAAAATCTTTAAGGAATCTATAAAAACAGTTTTTTGTACCAAAGAAAAAAAGATAAATTATAAAATAAATGGTTTTAAGGAAATAGCAGCCAATGGTCAAGAATGTAAGCGATAAGAATACACAAAATTCTGCAAGAATTGTACACGTCACTGACGTCCAAAACATCATAAGACAAATTTGTTCTGGCGAGGTCAAAGCCCCTGATAGGAAAACGAAGAAACTGCTTCCAGACATTGTGATGACTGAAGCCGCTGGTATCTTCAGCTGATCTCTCGAGACTGTCAGAAGAGCAGGAAGGCAGTGGGTCCTCGCTTTATCCTGAGAGTTTCTCTTCTGCCTGCAGACATCTGAGCACATACAAGATGACCTGGTAGCAGAAAATGTATTGTTCCTGGAGAGGAAAAACAGCAAATGTTACACGCACAAAGACAGCAGAAGTAACCTTGATTTAAATGCGTAGATCATTATAAAGCTGTTACCTCTGTCTGCACCATGCCCTGCCTCTGCAGTCTCATGGTACGGACCACATCTGATATGTCAAACTAATGAGAGAAAATGTCCAGAACATATGATTATTACATATAACTTCAATCATCATTTTATTTTTGCCATTTAACTTCAGTTATTATTTATACAATTTACTAAAATTTTTTTTTAATAATCATACATTTGTAATGTACAAAACCTTACAAATATAAAATTCAAGTCAATTGTTCAAAGAATAAATGTATATATGACACTTACATCTGCATCTTTGCTGATGAGGCCAAGAACCACGTCTATGCAGATGAGCGTTCCTGATCGGCCAATCCCTGCACTGCAGTGGGTGATGATGGGCCCTGATTGGTGGATGTGTCTCATGTAGGAAATGAATGTCAGGAGCTGTTCTGGTTGAGTTGGGGTTCCATGATCAGGCCAGCCTGTGTAGTTCAGATGAGTGACCCTCTGGATCTCATTAGTCTGCAAGAGAAAGATGTACATGCAGATTTAAACATCTATGCATATACGTGTAAGTGTAATGATAAAGACATTGTGATGACTGAAGCCGCTGGTATCTTCAGCTGATCTCTCGAGACTGTCAGAAGAGCAGGAAGGCAGTGGGTCCTCGCTTTATCCTGAGAGTTTCTCTTCTGCCTGCAGACATCTGAGCACATACAAGATGACCTGGTAGCAGAAAATGTATTGTTCCTGGAGAGGAAAAACAGCAAATGTTACACGCACAAAGACAGCAGAAGTAACCTTGATTTAAATGCGTAGATCATTATAAAGCTGTTACCTCTGTCTGCACCATGCCCTGCCTCTGCAGTCTCATGGTACGGACCACATCTGATATGTCAAACTAATGAGAGAAAATGTCCAGAACATATGATTATTACATATAACTTCAATCATCATTTTATTTTTGCCATTTAACTTCAGTTATTATTTATACAATTTATGATATCATCTATTTATTTATAATAAAGTGTTGCCATAAACAAACATAAAAAATAAAAATAGTATACTTTAGCCATATAAAATTGTGATTATTGAAAAATAATGAACTTTCGCCATTTAACTTCAATAATTTGTGCAATTTATTTAGTACTTAAGTTTTACTAGAAACATACAAACAAACATTCATTCATTAATTGTATACTTCAGCCAGATAAAAGTGATTCTTAAAAAAACTTCTGCTATTTAACTTGAATTATTATTTATTCAGCTTATTATATCATTTAAGTTATTTTAAAGCGTTTCCAAAAATACAAATATATAAATAAACAAAAAATTTATATTTCTTGTCAACTTGTCATTTAACTTATTTAGATATTTTATTTATATAGTGTCTCATGTAGGAAATGAATGTCAGGAGCTGTTCTGGTTGAGTCGGGGTTCCGTGGTCAGGCCAGCCTGTGTAGTTCAGATGAGTGACTCTCTGGATTTCATTAGTCTGCAAGAGAAAAATACACATGCAGATTTTTGCAAACATCTGTGTGTATAGGTGTATTTATAAAGATATACAGGGCCTAAAACTAACTTTTTGCCACACCTGCCAATGGCCGGTGACATGATAAAATTTACCTGCCAAAAAATATTTTTTACCGGCCAGGAAACTCTTTTTGCAAAAACAGGCAGTTATTACTACTACAATAACTAAACATATTTACAATGTTTTTAAAGCGCTGTCTCTTTAAAACCTGATGCATATGACGCGGATCTGACACATATCCGATTATATTACACATATTTCTCCCAACTCTTTAAGGTCATTTATAACTCATTTAAGACTCCGTTTACAAGGTAGCTCGCCAAAACCGCGCATTTTGACATAATTGTGTGTTTTCGTGCGTTGAAGCGCTACTGGTGCGCTGTCTGAAGCGGCTCAGCGTATACGTACAGCCGAACGCACAGCCTTTTAAACTATACTTCACTGCACCATTTAGGCGGCGTAACCCCAGGTATGTGTCGCCGCAATCTCAGGTTATGAAGAATAAAGAAGGGATATATATAACTGCCTCTCACCTGGATGTCTTTGACTTCTATGAGCCGGATGACAAAGTTGTCCAGGTGCTGATCTTTGACCAGTGTGATCTGCAGCCGGTCATCCACCATCTCGGGCGAGCGGGGCGTGTCGGGCCAGTACCTCTGACATTTCACCTTCCCCCCCTCTACTTCCTGCGTCATCATGGCGATCACGTTGGACTTCTGCTCCCAAACCATTTGCCAGAAGTCCCCCAGCGTGGTGGGCAGCGGCCCCTGGCATGCGATGTACAGGAAGTTCTCGTCTTTCACAGGCATCTTGATGAAGTTGGCATTGATGTAGCCGCCATCCTTCCCCAGCATGACCCTGGTTGTGTCGACTGAATCATGAAGAAGAGAGATTTAAGTCAAATCAAGTTACCTTCATTTCTACAGTGCTTTATATAATACAGATTGTGTCAAAGCAGCTTCACAGAGATAAATAGGAAAAGAGTGGAAATCAATTACGGAAATTAATATACAAAAAAGGTCAGAGAAACATGCATTGTTTATACGTCAGTGTTTTTCCTAACTCACATGGAACGATGTTCTTGTATCGGTTTTTCTTCTTGTTCTCTTTAGTCTGACCAATCAGACAATCATCCAAGGGGCGCAAATTCTGCAGGTTCTTTGAAAGAAAACAATATGCACATTAAAATGTATTTTGTATATCCATATTGGCATCAAAGGCTACATTCATGCCAATAAATAAATAAATACTGGCAAACTTCAAAATGTCGGGATCAGCAATAAATGTTTTTGAAAGAGGTCTCTCATGCTTATCAAGGCTGCATGCATTTATTTGATCAAAAATACAGTTAAAAAAAATAATATTGTGAAATATTATAATAATTTAAAATAGCAATTTTCCATTTTAATATTTATTAAAAATGTCATTTATTCTTGTGATACAAAGCTGAATTTTCAGCATCATTACTCCAGTCTTCAATGTCACATGATTAATCAGAAATCATTCTAATATTCTGCTCAAGAAACATTTCTTATTATTATCAATGTTGAAAACAGTGCTGCCTAATAATTTTATGGAAATACTTTTTTTCCAGGATTCTTTTATGAATAGAAAGTTCAAAAGAACAGCGTTTGACATTTTTGAAACATTATAAATGTCTTTATTGTCACTTCTGATCAATATAATGCATCTTTGTTGCAAAAAGTATTAATTTCTTTCAAAAAAACAAAACAAATAGTGGTGTTAAACTTCTGCACATAAAAAGTTCAAATATGCATGAAATAATTTAAGGCCGGTTTATAATTTCTTGTAACCGAAGAAAATGTTCTAATATAAAAAATACAGACTGTATCTATACGTATATAGTACAATGAAACATTTTCTGTACCTCAAACTCTTGCAGAGGAACTTTCTGTTCCAGCAGGCCTCTCATCATGCGGACTATAGTGTTGAGGTTAGCGGATGTGTAATGACCGTCAGGAACCACTTTCACCAGAGGCAGAGACGTCAACTCTTCCTCAGTGACAATGGGTCCATCTGAGAAAGAGAGAGTGAAAAGAACAAGTGTAGCATTAACAACGAGACAACCCAATTCAATGAGTAAAATCTGCGCTTTACAACCCATTTGTATTGAAGTACAATAAGAAAATGGTCCATTTCTCTACGAGAAACAGAGTGGTGGTTTCAACAGCTGACTGACCCTCAGTAAATTTAGAGTTGATGTTCTCCATCGGCAGCTCGTCACTCCCCCATGTGATCTCGTCCTCATCCAGCTGACCCGACGATGACTGCAGTGCACTAAGAAGAGAGGGAGATTTGCTCAGAACAAACCTGCAAGACTAAATCCTGCTTGAGGACATATCTGTCAGGTTCAGTCATTCTTGTAGATCAAACAGTACAGCATGAACGAATAAAACAACATGCAAGCGTAACTACAACAGCAGACTTTCATTGCGCTTTCATACTGATTTACAGAGAACCTTTCAACAGTAGTGTACATCCAAACAATATTTAATCTACGCTATACTGTATAAAGTGCTTAACTACAAAAAGCCTGGATTCAGTCATGTTTACTGAACAAAAAGTGTTTCAGAAAATCATATTGATTAATAGTAAAATGCACTGAACTTTGACTATATTTTCTGAGTTTAAGCTGAACAAAAACATACACGCTGCTGATGTAAAATTATTCGAAGAGTCATATGAAAGTAGAATTGTTTTCCTCACCTGTCGTTGAGTGGGTCATCAACATTTTCTTCCTTCCACTCAGCCTTCCGAGACGTCTGAAGACAGAAGAACATAGCATGTAGTTCAGATAAACAGATGCATTGTTTTAAGTCAATAATATCACCTCAAAGTCCATTGTTATTAGATCAGGTCTTATGAACGCAGTTTGACTGCTGTAAAACTGCAGATTTTCAAAGTTTGATTACAGATGGCTGTACCTCTGGGGAGTCTTCCGGCAGAGATGAGCCGTCACAGTCTGTGTCTTCTGATAGGTCACCACTTCCTTCTGTTCTCTTCCCTTTCTCTAGAGAGCCTGTGTCATAGTCTAGAACACACACACACACAATCCTGATCATGTAAATACCCCACTCTCACATCTGCAGGTGACTTTCAGATGACCCATCTGCCAGAATGTCATGTGGGGTTATTAGAGCTAACTAAACCATAAGATAAAAAAAAAAAACATTTTCATGAAATAACTCGAACTTTTCTTGAAATAAAATAAACATTAAGTGAAATTACTAAAATATGCTTGATAAAACAAATACTGAAAATATTTAATTAACTTAATAAAAATATAGAAATATTACAAAAAAATTATAAAAATGAACAAAATTGCTAAAACTAATTACTAAAATTAAAATTGAAAATATATACATATAATTTAATATTTTATTTTATAAAAAACTTGAACTTTGCTTGAAATAAAATAAACATTAAGTGAAATTACTAAAATATGCTTGATAAAACAAATATTAAAAATATTTAATTAACTTAATAAAAATATAGAAATATTACATAAAATAATAAAAATGAAAACAAAATTGCTAAAACTAAATACTAAAATTGAAAATATATACATACAATTTTATATATTTATATATATATTTTATTTTATTGCTTTGATAATGTTATTAATATTTAATAAATGTATTATATTAAAAAGTAATACATCATAAAATATTACAATTAAATGTTATAATAAAATGATTAATGTTTAATAAAATTGAACTAAACTAATTAAACATTTGAATAAAATCTATAGTAGCATCTCAATGCCACTAAAATCAGACTGATCATGTGATCTTTTCTGTACCTGTCGGAGGGAGGGGAGGTGGGTTGTTGGTCTTGCTTTGCTCTGATGGCGTCTGGATTTTTGTCTTCACACCGCTGTCCTCACTCACATCTGAAACAGATTTTTGTAAGACTAAATCACTGCTCTTTTTCATGCAATAAAAATAAAAAAGTTAACATTTTTAATACATGTATAAATTAAAGAATTTTTTTTCTTAAATATTTATTTTAAAGATACATATATTTAGTAGATATATACACAAATATTTTTTTTAATATTATATTACAATTTTATTTCTTTTTATTATTTTTATTTTTATACTCGAGATTGTTGACTTGCAGGCCGTACCTTTGTTGCCATTTACACCGCTGGATTTGAGAGGCAGAAAGCCCAGGTACGTGTTGGGCATTTGGTCAGCTGGACGGGAGACGATGAGGTGCACCAAGCCTTTAGCTTTACGGATGGTGGTGACGGCTTTAGAGTGAGACACGCCGATCATCAGATCCTCATTGACCTGTACATAAACACAACCACAGAATTAGCTTTCAGAACTTAAAAACAATATATTGCATTTTATCAAAAACGTTGGTTCCGTACCTTCAGTAAATGATCGCCAACTTGCAATGTGCCCGCAGTGTCTGCAGTGCCTCCAGGGGTGATGGATTTCACGAAAATACCCCTCTCTCCACCAATCACAGAAAAGCCCAGGCCTCCTGCGGGCGGCTTCTCCAACTGCAGCTTCACAATCTGCTCCTGTAAACACATTAGACCAGAAAAGGGTTAAATAAAGAATTCAAAATTAATGAGATGAGGAAAAAATTGGTGATAAGTTGACAATGAAATCACATTAACAATTCCAATGAATTCAAAGACGGAAGAAGCCTCAATGTTTGCCGTTCGCTGCGGTGTTTCCTAAAAATCGACTCAAATTCCTCTCACCAGTTCCTCTTGTAGCTCACAGACTGCAGAAATCTGACCTGTCTGTGTGACCTGCCTCAGTTTCAATTTCAGGCCGTTTGTGTCCCGTCTCACACGCCACAAAATAGCAGCACCCATACTATAATAGCAATAGTTTCTGTTTCTGAAGTCGGTGTATTTTAGTGATAAAACATTTAGCCAGAGCAGCACCAATCAATATTAGTTAATAGTTTACCAGAAGTTCTACAGATCCTTACCTCAGCGGGACAGATACCGGATAGGGCCTCGAATTCGTTACGATCGTTGCTATGGAGATAACCTATGATACAAAGCGAGAAATGAGGCCACTGTGTATATTACTCAGCTTACAAGCAGAAGAGTTACAGCACTACTAACTCAAGCATCAGAATGCCATCAAATCACAAGAAAAGTAAAGCTATAAGCCACACTGGATCATGTGTTACAGTGATTTTACCATAGTTAAGAGGTGATGTTAGCTTAAAGTCATATAAGAGACAAACATTTTAGAATATAACTAGGTTAGCATTTCCTGAAGGTTTATAGTTTTAGGTTTTTGCTTCTGCTTGTTTCTGTGTAAATGACCAATGAGAATTCAGTATACAAATAAGTAATACATGCAAGAAAGGAGGTAAATTGGAATTCAGTATGGAAATATTATGATGACATCTTCACTGACGGTTACATTATACCAGCATTACATAAGTGTAAGTCAATGGGAACTTTACAAACTTTACATTTATAATTTCTTTTTTTTGTTTTTTTAAAGAAATTAATACTTTTATTTAGCAAGGATGCATTAAATTTAAAAATATTTAATTAACTTAATAAAAATATAGAAATATTACATAAAATAATAAAAATGAAAACAAAATTGCTAAAACTAAATACTAAAATTGAAAATATATACATACAATTTTATATATTTATATATATATTTTATTTTATTGCTTTGATAATGTTATTAATATTTAATAAATGTATTATATTAAAAAGTAATACATCATAAAATATTACAATTAAATGTTATAATAAAATGATTAATGTTTAATAAAATTGAACTAAACTAATTAAACATTTGAATAAAATCTATAGTAGCATCTCAATGCCACTAAAATCAGACTGATCATGTGATCTTTTCTGTACCTGTCGGAGGGAGGGGAGGTGGGTTGTTGGTCTTGCTTTGCTCTGATGGCGTCTGGATTTTTGTCTTCACACCGCTGTCCTCACTTTCTGTTAAATAAATGCTGTTCTTTTCTACTCAAAAAAAAACAAACAATTTCAGAGTTTTCATAAAAATATTAAGCAGCACAACTGTTTTCAACATTGATAATAATAATAAAAATGTTTCTAAAGAATTTCTCAAATCAGCACGTGTCTGAAGACTGGATCATGTGAAAATGATCCAATACTGAAGACTGGATAAATGGAGTAAATCCAGTTTTGCATGACAAGAATTAATTACATTTTCAAATATGTTCAAATAGAACACAGTTTGACAATATGACTTGTTTTACTGTATTTTAATCAAATAAATGCAGCCTTGGTGAGCATAAAGACTAAAAAAAGACAAAAAAAATCATACTGACCCCAAACTATAAAACAGTGATTAAATTCTGACAAAAGTGTGCAGTTACTGCAAGTTTATTCCCATTACACTTACCGTTCATACTCTGCGAGACTTTAGGACTGATGTTATTGTTTAGTAATGAAATCTGCTCTTCACCCGGAAAAACAGGCTTCCCATCCCTACGGAAATATAGATAGGTAATGGCATCTGTCCAGAAGTATTACACATTTCACACAACAACTGACAACAAAGGTCCATCAAAAGTATCTTTCCAACACCTGAAAGTAATTTGGATGAACTTGAAGCGAGTCATATCATGCGAGTAACTCACCTGGTGGCTTTGAGACTCAGATTCCTCAGTGACAGCTGCAGTAGTCTGCGGCTCTCGCTCAAGGTCAGATCCTGCGTCGGAGCGCCATTGATATAATGTATGATATCCAAGTGCCTCAAACTGCCTTCTGCAGAGGCTACGGATCCTGGGATGATGTCCTTTATGTACAGCACGCCCAACCCACTGTCACTTCCTCCATCGAGAACAAGACCTGCAAGAGACGCCCAGAAAACAAACTTAGCTGCGCTAACCCTAACACCACCTTCTTTTTTTCTTTCTTTTGCTTTTTTGTCAGCAAGCTGAAACCTGACACCCTTATCTGGCTTGTTGTCTATCCCCATGAGCTCATTTTTCCAGTGAAACGCAGGTGGGCTTTGTTTATTCTGATGGATATCTGTGTTTTTGTGTGACCCAGTAAAGCCCCGTTGACCTCTTGACGGTCAGATAACACTAAAGCGCCACACAAATTGGTCGAATGCAGCAGAATACACTTATCCAGCAGCATACTGGGTATTTCTGAGAACTTTACTGAGTGGTAAAGAGGATCGGTTACCATATACGTTGATGTTTCCATTACCTAAGGACTCGTCGTGGCACTGAAATATGATGTCAGGAAGGAGGTGGGCCTCTATTGGGGGTTTGGGAGGTTCTAGAATGCGGCCGACCACGATGTCCACGACTTTGGGGGCGGCACGCACCAGGTTGACCACCTCGGTGTGATTCATGCCAGACACATCTGTGTTATTGACCTATTAACAGAGGAAGAAGAATGAAGATGAATTACAATGTGTAAAATAAAAACTTTAAAACCAGCTTTTAGTCTGTGTGTTGGTTTTATATGGTAGTGTAGTGATAAAACGAGAATTTACAAAATTAACCCTTTAACAGACATATCAACCAGAAAATGGACTAAAAGTAAAAGACTCTTGTTTCCAGGGGAGTATGGAAATGTTTGTCCAATGTAATACTCTCTAAAATCAGAAGGTCCCTCCCATCAATACTACCTGCCAGGGTTATTATAGTTAACTAAAACTAAACACATTAATTGAAATAAAATATTAAAAAACTTAATTTAAAGAAATAAATGTTAAATTAAAATATTTTATTTTTATAAACATTTCTCTTTTTTCATTTAGTTAAACTTGATGTAAAAGAACTACAACTTAATTAAAGGGGTCATATGATGCGATTTAAATTTGTCCTTTCTCTTTGGAGTGTTACAAGCTCTTGGTGCATAAAGAAGATCTGTAAAGTTGCAAAGACTAAAGTCTCAAATCCAAAGAGATATTCTTTATAAAAGTTAAGAGTCAACCACGCCTACCTA